AATCCCTTGAGTTGTGTGCTTCGCAGTCTTGAAACGGACTTTAGTCTGTTTACCAAGAACACAATACTTGCAAAAAGCGAGCTTACAGCTTTTGACACCATGCAACAAGTTTCTCTTGTGTAATTCTGCCATACCACGTTCACTAAGATGAGCAAGGCGCATATGCCACAATTTTGTCGTATCATCACAGGACTCAACAGAGTGAACTCCACCTGCAACGGTACTCCCTAACAATCTGTAGATATTCCCTGCAGTCATCTTGCCTTTCATCACAGTCAATGCTCCTTTAACAATCCGAATGGTTTCCCTATCCTCGTCAGCCTTAGGGATAAAACCATTCTTGTGCAAAGTGCCCAAGGAAATCAAATTCTTCTTCAAGTCTGGGATATGTCGAACACCACTCAACATCCGAACGGAGCCATCGTGCATCTTAATTCTGACATCACCAATACCAACAATATTGCAACATCGATCATCACCCAAATAAACCGAACCAGAATTAACCGGCCTGTATGTCGAAAACCATTCCCTATTTGGCATGATGTGATAAGAACATCCAGAATCAAGAATCCAAGCATCCGTCAATTGTGTCGTTGAAATAGAAAGCATATCACCCTCACTGCAATCAGAATTATCATCCTCGACCACGTTCACAGACTTGGATGAGCCATCACGCTTCTCATCAGTCTGCTTTTTCAATTTCGGACAGTCTCGCTTCATATGTCCCGCCTCCTTGCACTTGTAACAGTGAATCGTCTTCTTATCCCTGGATTTAGATCTGGAATTCCGCTTCCCGGACCCTGCCTTCTCTGGCTTCCGTCCACGATCTCGATTACCCTTGACATATAAGCTATCGGCTTGAGAGCTTTCCCCTGCATTCTGCTTCCGCTGGTTGTGAGCCAACAAGGCTGCAGTAATCTCCTCAACATTGATAGTCTCTTTCCCATATGTAAGAGTAGTCACCATGTGTTCGTAAGAGGAAGGTAACGAACACAACAGAATCATCGCTCTGTCTTCATCCTCAATTTTCACATCAAGCCGAGCTAGATCAGAAACGATTTGATTGAAGACATTCACGTGTTGCGCCAAATCGTGATCGTCCTGCATCTTCAGCCCATACAGCCGCTGCTTCAGATACAGTTTTGTCGTTAAGGATTTGGACATAAACTGACTTTCCAACTTCCTCCAAATTTCGTCTGGAGACGATAGATGCATGACGTGATACATGACCTCGTCTGCCAAGCATAATCGTATGGTTCCTGCCGCTCGCTGCTGCAATTCTTCCCAATCTTCCTCATCCATCGACGCCGGCTTTATAGGTCGCAAAGCCTTCAAGATCCCTTGCTGCGCCAATAGATCCTTCACCCTCGTTTGCCATAATCCGAAGTTACCCTGACCATCGAATTTCGCGACTTCGAATTTTGCTCCTGACATCTGATACCAATTGTTGACGAAAACGGGTAAAGAAAACGAAAGAACACGAGAATTTTACGAGGTTCGGCAATGTGCTTACGTCCTCGGTGCCTAGGCGGCGCTAGAAGTTTTATTCAATGATATTTTAGGTCTAGGTTACATCTCTATTTATAATAGAAAACCCTGGTACATAATTACAAAATCAACCCTGTACCGTACCGCGGGGGCTGCGCCCCCACACCCCCAACCCACATAATTCGTAACCCCACAACGAGACTTTTTATGAGCCATACATAACACTACTTTTCTTACCCGTCTGTTGATTCTTCGACAACACCAGAGATCCCGAATGCTCCAACGTTGCAGTCGAAGTGATATATATTAACCGCCACCAATGACATAATTAAAGACTGTATCATGCACCAACCTAAACTTCCGAGAATTACGAAGAGAAAACCCTAATAAATTATGATAATATTAGAACTTAAAATAATTAAATATAATAGTTTAAGTGCCTAGTTTGACCAAAATATAATTTAAGTACTTAAAACAAAAACAAGTATAATTTAAGTATTTATTTTTACTTTAAGTCTATTTTTCATTGTTATTGAATTAGTCATAATTAACTTTTAAGTAATCATCCACTTCAATATTAATGTTAAAAATTAAAATTTATCTTAAAAAAGAATGACAAGAAAGAAAAATAATAATAAAATAAATAAATTTTAGAAGATAAAAATGTAAATAAGTGATGAGAAATGATAATATAATATTGTTTTGGTACTAATAGATATTTGAATTCAATTAACGGAATCGGTTATCATGGAACCTCTCTGGGCGCACGTTAGCAGGTCTGATGGGCTCTCAAATTTGCTTCTCTGGTGCTGATCACTGCTTCTTGCTCGCTGTTTTGGGTGTTCTTCATTACAAGTTTGTTTCTTCTCTTATGGAATCGAGGACTTCTGAGCCCGATTGGAGGAAGCTTTTTCGTGGATCGCAGGAACAAGCCCTAGATTTCTTCCCACCCGAAGTCTTGGAGGGGATATCTACTGTCAAGCCTCCGCCTACTGTTATTGAGGAAGGGATTGCAGAGTGGAGTCATGCGGTGGTGGGCCAAATTATTGGAGCAGCCCCAAACTTTGGATCCATGCAGAGAATCGCTAAACTTTTATAGGGGAAAGCTCTCGTCGGTCAAGGTTAGTTAGGCTGGATTAAACCTCTTTGTGTTTTCATTTTCTAATGCTGAGATGAGAGATTGGGTCTTGGAGAATGGCCCTTGGCACATTCAGAATAAACCCCTAGTATTAAAAAAATGGGAACCGAATATGCATCGATTAGATTTTGATCTTAGACATGTACCAGTTTGGATATAGCTTTACAATGTCCCCCTCGATTTCTCTAGGAATGGTCTTAGCTACATTGCTAGTGTTGTCGGGTTACCCCTTTATATGGACTCTGTTACTGCCTCGAAGGAGAGGCTTGAATATGAAAAGGTTTGTGTGGAGGTTGAGGCAGGGGCAGTTATTCCTGGTGTAGTTAATGTAGTTCTGTAGGATGATTCCTTAGTGAAGGTTCGAGTTCATGCCCCTTGGATGCCTAAATTCTGCTCGCAGTGTAAAATCTTTGGGCACCAAGCCAATGTGTGTGTTGAGGGGGTCAAAGCTCCTATGAAAAATAAAGAAGTTCAAATGTGAAAGAGGAAAGTGAATTCTAATATACCTGATCTTTCTAATAAGGGAAATTTGGACAATTCTGTCACTACAGTAGAAAATCTTTCTTCTGATGGCACTGGAACCCATAATTTCATCCCTACTGAGGGAGGACCTATGTCTTCTGTTCTGAAGGTTGGTAATGCAGAGGTGTTGAATGTGTAAGCTCTGCAAGAAAATAATGTAGACTCTGTACAAGTGTTAGCTGGAGACGATGTAGTTCAGTCTCAACTCCCTAATGTGTATGCTTTTGCTGACAATAGTGGAAAGGTTTCCCAGCAGTCTGAGACCAGTGGTAATGATGATTTGGCAACTGATGCAGTAGGAAAGATTATGCCTAAATAAAATTTTGTTAACTCTGGCTGTGGTGGAGAGTTCCCCTCACTACAAGATTCACTGCTCCAAAAGAAGAAAACAAGGGGAAAGAGGAAGGACAATGCTGGCTCTTCTAGTAAATTGGAGCTATTTGCTGGAGGTGGTGATGTTAATGGTAATAGGAAAGCTAGAACTGCTTCCTTGGGGTAGCTATAATTCTCAATGATATTAAAGCAAAGAAAAAGGATCACATTGAGAGAGTCAAGGGTACTGGGGTCAGTTGTGTTGCTAAAGTTGATGACCCTCTTATTTCTAGCTGATGATTTTTAGTTTTTAGAACGTTAGAGGGCTCAACAGTGGGCTCAAGAAGGGCAAGGTCTTAAGAAGGTTGGAGGTTTTAGGTGTGGATGTAATTTTCTTCATGGAAACTAGAGTTAGGAATGTTAATTTTCCTAAGATTGCTGAAACATTGGCTATTGATTGGAGTATAGCTGCCAATTATGAGTACTCTGAGGGTGGTAGGCTTTGGATACTGTGGAAAAAGTGCCTTTCTTTCTCTTTACTAAAGAGTTGTGACCAAGCTCTCTCAATTGTAGGAGATGTGACTGGAAGAAAGGTTGTTGTTACTGCTGTCTATGGAAGAAATAATAGTCATACTAGAAGAGGATTATGGGAGCATCTAAGAAATTTGGATGCTGAAATTGGGTCTACCCCTTGGGTGATTGGGGGTGATTTTAACACTTTTGTCAGTGCAGAAGAGAGCTTTGATTTTGATGGTATGGGGATGCACAACACCTCTGATATGGAGGATTTTAATGATTTCTTGATAGATTTGGAGATTCAGGACCATCCATTCACAGGTCCACTCTTCACTTGGTCCAACAAACGAGAAAGTAATTTCTTGGCTCGGAAATTGGATAGAGTTTTAATTAACTCTCAATGGTTGTTGGAGTTTGTTGATTCAGCTGTGGAATTTAAAGCTCAGGGGCCTTCTGACCATTGTCCTGGGATTCTTTGGACTCAGAAAAAGTGCTCAGGTAAATAGACCTAAGTCATTCAAGTTCTTTAATTGTTGGACTGCCAATGAAAAATTCTTGAGGGTTGTAGAAGATTCTTGACATGAACATTGTGAGGGGAACCCTATGCTAGTCTTTTTTAATAAGATGAAAAGACTAAAGCCACTGTTACAAGAACTCAACATAAGTTATTTCTCTGATATCACTGGCAGAGTGGCTGCCATAAGGACTGAACTTGAATCTGTTCAATTATACAATCTTTCTCATGTGGAAGATAGAAGGTTGGATGAGGAAAAGAAACTCCAGGCATAATTAATTGTCATTGAAATTACTGAATATGATTTTTTTAGGCAGAGAGCAAAAGTCCATTGGCTTCAAGAGGGTGACTTGAACACTAGGTTTTTTCATCAAAGAGTGAAATTGAATAAGAAGAGGAATACTATCAAAGTCATTAAGGATGAAAGTGGGGTGTTCCATGCAACTTTTGATGACATGGCAGCTGAGCTAGAATTTTTTTAAGAGTCTTATAGGGTTTACTGATTCAAGGATGAAGGGTTGTTCTTTTGGCTGGCTTAAATCTGTTCTGAATAACTCTTTACCTGTTGTGGTTGAGGATCTCCTTGCTGGTGTGATTACAAATGCTGAAATCAAGGATGCTTTGTTCAGACAGGGGAAAAACAAAAGCCATGGACCTGATGGTTATACTTCTTGGTTCTTCAAGGTTGCTTGGGGGATTGTTATCAAGGATTTTATAGGGGCTGTAAGGTACTTCTTTCAAACATCCTCCCTGTTACCTGCTTTTAATGCCACCACCATTGTCTTAGTGCGTAAGTCCTTAAATGCATGTATGGCTAAGGAATTTAGGCTCATTTTTTGCTGCTCTGTGGTTTATAAGACAATCACTAGAATATTGGTCACTAGATTAGTTGTGTTCTTTCCTGGTATGATTTCTCTAAATCAGTCAACATTTGTCAAGGGTAGAAACATTACTGACAATACCTTACTTTCCCAAGAAGTAGTTAGGGGGGCCTCTAAAAAGAATCTTTCTCCTAGATGCACTATTAAGGTTGACTTGCAAAAGGCTTTTGACTCAATTTGCTGGGATTTATTTATGAATGTTCTTGAAGCTTTGGGGCTGCCTGAGGTATTTTGTTGATGGATTAGAGCCTGTATCACCACACCTAGATATTCTATTTCTCTAAATGGTAGTTTGGTGGGGTATTTTAAGGGAGCTAGGGGGTTAGACAAGGTGATCCCCTATCCCCTTACCTCTCTATGATTGTGATGAATGTTCTATCTTCTTTGCTGGATATTGCTGCTAAGAATGGGGTTTTCAGATTTCATCCTAAATGTAAAAGAATCCCCCTCACACACATTTGTTTTGCTGATGACCTCCTTTTGTTCTGCCATGAGTCATTGGATTCTGTAGTTGTTAGTATTTTGGACATGTTCTATGAACTTTCGGGCTTAAGATTGAATGCCATGAAGATAAAGTTTTTTGCTTGTGGGATGGCAGTGGATAAAATCGCGCTGATTCAGGGAGCAACTTGTTTCAGGATCGACAAACTTCTTGTTAGATACCTAGGGGTTCCCTTGGTTACACGTAAGCTCACTAGCAGGGACTGCTCGGGTTTGCTTGTGAAAATTAGGGACAGAATTAGTAAGTGGTCCAGTAGGTAGCTTAGCTATGGGGGCAGGCTTCAGCTTGTAAGGTCTGTCCTATTCATCTTTTTTGGTTATTGGAGTAGGCAACTTATATTTCCTAAGGGAGTCATAAGGGATGTTGAGAAACTTTGTATGCGGTTCTTTTGGAGGGGCAATAACTCCTCTGCTAGGGGTGCTAGAGTGAGCTGGAATCAGATGTGCTCACCTAAATCTGAGGGTGGACTGGGCTTAAGGAAGCTAGCTGATTGGAGTAAAACTTGTTGTCTAATGCTTATTAAAAGCATCCTTGCTGAGGAAGGGTCACTATGGATTGCTTGGATCAAGGTTTATTTCTTTAAGACAACTGACTATTGGACTGTTGTTAGTAAGTCACATTTTAGCTAGATTCTAAGCAAGTTGATTAAACTGAGGGATGAGGCTAGGAATCTTTTCAGTCCTATGACTACCTTATCTCAGATCAAGGGCAGGTGGATTTGGGATAGCATCTGAAGCAAAAATGAAAATGTTCCTTGGCATAGACTCATCTGGTTTCCTGCTCATGTCCCTAAGTTCTCTCTTGTTGCTTGGATGGTTATGCTTGATAGGCTGCCTACTAAAGACAGACTAATCAGGTTTGGAATTGCGATTGAAAACAATGTGTGTGTGTGTTGTGTGGGGTTGGACAAGAATCTCGCAATAATCTCTTTCTTGAATGTTCCTTTGCAAGTGAGATATGGCGAGCTGTTATGCGTGCTTATGAACTGCAGCATCAGATGTTGGAGTGCTGGGATAATGAGGTTCGCTTGATGATTCTGCACTTTAAAGGGAAATCCCTTTTAGTTCATATCCTTAAGCTTGCTTGGACCGGGTTTGTCTACTCTATTTGGGAGGAACGTAATTGCAGGAGTTTTAGGGGAGTGATGCGTTATGCTGACTCAATTGTAAATAATATACGGGAGGTGGTTAGAACTAAGCTGTATAGAAGTCACATTAATAAGGTTGATAATGTAAATAGGAGGTTGTGTCTAAATTGGGGGCTAATTTAGTTGTTTGTATATGTTTCTTGTAGCAGCTTCGCTACTCTCTTTTGCATGAAAAAATTTTACTTATCAAAAAAAAAATTTGGGTACTCGAATTAATTGATGATTCTCGGAAGTCTTCCTCATTGGCCCAATTGTTTTGGAATCCACCAAAATCCCCTAATATAACGGATTGGTGTTGTATGAAATGCCATGTTTTTTAATCCTTTGGTTTTCAGAAAATTTGAATAGATTTTGTTATCCTCCCCATGAATTGGGTACTCCGCCCGCAGCTCCAAGACCTCTCTTTTCTCTCACACTGCCTTTTGTTTTGTCTGTAAGCTGTAACATGTTCTGCGCGACTGTAGAGAAAAAGACTCAAGAACCCCAACTCTAACCTTGTGTTTATAAAAAAACAAGAAGACAACAAAAGCCCTTACCAGTTACCACCTTCTTGATCTCATATCCATATATATATTTCTTTAATTCCTTACCCTTACTGTTTGAAATTTGAAAACTGTTAAATTTATTTATCGTTTCCAACTCCCCATGTTTAGGCCCGCGTCTCTCTCTCTCTCCTCCTTTGACTACCTCGGTCACATCACCCCTCACATTTCCCTTGACCAACAGGCTCTACATTAGTTTTTTCAAAACCCCCTGTTATTTATTGTTTTCTTTCAGGCATTTCGTCGAACTGGTTTCTCATTTAAAACATGGATGAACAGCCTCCCAAAAACGAAAAGCTTGAAACTTTTCGCGTCACCAACACTCTCAAAGACCTTTGTTTGAACAATAACAATGTTAGCATTTCTGGGTCTGATTCTCTTTTCAGTTGTAGCAATAACGGAAGTAGCAGCAGTGGCAGTTTTCAAGATGTTAGCATCAATAAGAACAGTGTTAGCTTTAGTTTATGTAGTAGTGTTAGTAAGAATCCGGAGAGTAGTGACTGTGAAGAGAGTGAAAAGAGTAGCTTTAGGAGCTTTTGCACATCGAAACCTCATAAAGGAAATGATAGGAGATGGGATGCGATACAGCATGTTAAGGGCAAAGATGGGGACTTGGGGTTAGCTCATTTTAGGTTGTTGAAGAAGTTAGGGTGTGGAGATATAGGGAGTGTTTATTTAGCTGAGTTAAGAGGGGTGGGATGTTTGTTTGCAATGAAGGTTATGGATAAAGGGATGTTAGCTGGGAGGAAGAAATTGATGAGAGCACAAACTGAGAGAGAGATATTGAGGTTATTAGATCATCCATTTTTACCCACCCTTTATTCGCATTTCGAGACCGAGAAGTTTTCTTGTTTGCTGATGGAGTTTTGCAGTGGTGGGGATCTTCATATTCTCCGGCAACGACAGCCGGGCAAGCATTTTACCGAACTTGCGGCACGGTTCGTTTTCTATAGCTAATATGTTTGTCTTCTTGTTTATAGTACTAGTTAAGGGAAGGTTATTGAGGACTTCCAAATTCAAGGATAATTTGTATTGAACCATAGTTTGGAGTAGATATATTCTGAATTCACGTGTTTGAAAATAGCAATTTCTATCATCTTGCAGGTTTTATGCTTCAGAAGTCCTTCTAGCCCTTGAGTATCTACACATGATGGGGGTGGTGTATAGGGATTTAAAGCCTGAAAATGTGTTGGTGAGGGAGGATGGCCACATTATGCTATCAGATTTTGATTTGTCATTGCGGTGTTTAGTCAATCCTACTCTTGTGCAGTCATGTTCCGAGCCATCATGTAGAATCGCTTCGTACTGTGTTCAACCAGCTTGCATTGATCCAGCATGCAAATTACCGGTATGCGTAGAGCCTGCTTGTTTGCAGCCATCTTGCTTTAAGCCTCGGTTTCTTAGTTCTAAAGCAGGGAAGGTGAAGAGTGAAAGAACAAATTTGGTGAGTTCAGATTCATTTCCTGTGCTTATTGCAGAACCAACAAACGCCCGGTCCATGTCATTCGTTGGGACACATGAATACTTAGCTCCCGAGATTATAAGAGGAGATGGTCATGGGAGTGCTGTTGATTGGTGGACATTTGGTATTTTCTTGTATGAATTACTACAGGGACGAACGCCATTCAAGGGAAATTACAATCGGGAGACCTTGTTCAACGTGGTTGGTCAGTCCCTAAAATTTACAGAGGGATGTTCAATCAGTTTTGCAGCAAAGGATTTAATCAGAGGTCTGCTGGTGAAGGACCCTCAAAAGAGATTAGGCTTCAAAAGAGGTGCCACTGAGATCAAGCAACACCCTTTCTTCAAAAGCGTTAACTGGGCTCTTATCCGCACCACGCATCCTCCAGAAATCCCTAAACCCATCGATATCACATTGCTAAACCGAGAATTTAAGTCGTCAGTGCCTCCAGATGATACGGGAGCCACAGACTCAGACAGGTCATCTGGTCCTTACTTAGATTTTGAGTTTTTCTGAAATAGTGGTTAGCTTAGATTATTGTTGTATCATGTTTTCAATGGAATCTGTCTTTCCTTTTTGCCATGTGACATGCCCTTTATCCCATCGAAAGTAACAGTTGGCGCGACTCGAAACATGAATTCCTTTTGAATTTACGTGGACAAAAATTGAATCAACTTTTGCAGTGAGTTGTCCTTCATTCCCACTGTCTTTAGTATGGAAGGGTGTCTCATTTGGGGACCTCCAATGGTGGAGCTTTTAAGCCCTTTTTCCATTCTCACTCTCCTTGGTATAAACTTTATCTGCTAATCAACTGTTGCTAAAGAAACTGAAACAAGACAAGTCATTGTAAAGGCTTGGTCGTCAACTGTTTGATGCCTACGCTGCTGCATTGTTTCATTTTGTTTCTTATATTTGCTTGAACTTCTGCAAGTATTTGCATTATTTGTCCAGGAAATGCACTCTTTTCCAAAATCCAGGCTTTTCCTTTTTCTTACACATGATTCCTTGCTCGAATATGAATATCAAATACGAATACTTTGAAAAAATATAGATAGTTGGAGTAACATAGTAGGAAAAGAGGGTTGGATAGTGATTAGAAAAGAATGAGAAAGAGTGATTCCAGACATACATAAATAACAAAAACTGACAATGTCTTATCGTTCTTTATCTGAATTGTGTTCTTAATTTTGCAAAATCTATTTAACCCTAGAAAAGCCACTTGTTCTCAGACAGTCTAAAACCATTTGTTTCCAAGTTTGTTTATTGATTTGGATTTAAATACTCACTTTTCAGTAATAAAAGAAAAGATGCCTTGAATCATGGCTATCCATTAAACAAGTTCTCTTAGAGCCCTTAAATATATGTTATTTTAATTTTTAGAAATTTGGTTTTAATGAAAACACATGCCCATTCTTTTTACTTTTGGGAACATTTATCTAATAGAAACAAATATCAAAAGGTTAGGGATGACAACAGGGTGGGCTTTTATCCCCCCAACCTCTACTCTTAATTTTGGAATTTAAATTCGATTTTGATTTTAATATAATATAATTTGATTTAACCCAATATGACATAGTAAAAGTATACTCTAATCTTGATCTAATCCATTTTTTTTATAAAAAAAAAAAAACTGAATAAATTTATTCTGACCCCGAAAAATTTAATAATATAATATATAAAAGTAATTGTTAAACTAAAAATTTGTATTTTAATAAATATATCAAGGCGGGATGACCTCGAAAATTTAATATAAAAACTAGATTTTAACTAGGTCGGGTTGACAATTTGTTTTCAGTTTCGAATAGATGTTGAAACCAAAGTGTCCTCAAATAATTTTTGGGACCTAGTATTTTCAATTTCTCAAAAAAAAAAAAGAAGTAAAGATAATGAAGGGTATGGATCAAAATTAAAGTGTTTAGGACTAATTTTTGGGCTTAAGGTTTACATTGGTCCCCAAAGTATGTAACACTCTAAATTAATATGGTGTCAAAGTGTCACATTGGACCATTGAAACAATCAAAACTATAAAATTCTTATGAAATATTTTATCTTTCAATATTTGAAATTCATCAAGTCTTATAAAATATTTAACGTTTACAAATTCGGAACTTCAACATAATAGTTTACTAAATAACTTCAAAATAAATAAAGATTCACATGTTGAATACTGATAAAAGTCCTATAGATACATATGTCCACTATAATACTCAGAATTATAGAATTTGTTAAAAATTTAAACTTTTATTTTAATCTTAGTTGTGAAACCATCATACAAAAGTAAATATCGAAAATTTATAATTCACAATGAAAATAAATACTCAATATATTTACATAAAACTAAAATAGTATGGTTACAAAACTGATCAGAGCATTTCGATTTAAACTTTTATGATACAAGCCACCAAAAATACAAAATAATAAGAAACCTACAGTTCAAATCATTATGATCTGATTTTCTTCAAGTGTATGATGTCCTTACCTAGCTTTACTCCAAGGATCTCTTTGAACTACGTGTGAAACAATTACACGGTAAGTCGTTGACTTAGTGAGGCATAATGAGTATAAAAACAATAAAGCATGTGATTAACATTTTCAAGAAACATTATATATGGAAACCAATATACCTTTAATACACATACTTATAATCTTATACACTTTTCAGTTCATATCAATTTGTTTAAAGAGCCCAACATATATTATTGAGAACTCAAGGTATGTGACTACATTGAGATTGTGCACTATAATTGCAGTCAAAACTGCCGCGTAGAATTTGCACCGAAGTGCCATGTAGAATATGCACCGAAGTGCCATGTAGAATATGCACCAAAGTGCCACATAGATTTGTCCCGAAGCACCACGTAGAATTTGTCCCGAATAACCACATAGAATTATCTTGAAGGACATCGTAGAACCCTCCACTCTTGGTATACCAACTATACCTCTAATTCTCATACATATACTTTGGGCTTTAACCATATAATTATTTCACTTTACCTTATTCAAAGTATCATTTATTCACATTAAAACATATTCACGTAGAACATAATCACATAGAACATATTCACATATATCATATTCACATATTACTAAAATAAAAACAATACTTCATAAATACAATTTATATAAAACATCATAAAAATATTGCATAAAATAAATAAAAATATTTTCGATAGAAAACCTTCGAGGTTGGCTTACCACAAGCCATCCGCATATCTAATATAAAATAAATACATTGCACTAACCTTTGCCTCACGTAAGTTCTAAACGAAATCCTTTTAACTTTCGTTCAATCTCTTTACTACGTCAATTCGTTCGGTACACTTTCGATCCAAATCTACACATCAACATATCTAATATGAATATCGAATTTCAATTAATGGCTAACCAATTTGCATTTACTAAATGAAATAAAACACCTAATTTAACATTTCATACTGAATAGTAACGATACTCTACCCACATTACCAATACTTCTCTTCTATGGTACCAATACTTCTCTTCTATGGTACCAATACCTACTTTAGTATCGATACCATTTTGGCATTATGGAATTTCATCTTCAATTACAGTATCGATACCTAACTCTTGGTATCGATATCTCCACACCAGTATCGATACTACTTCAATCAATATCGATATTGTTCATCTGATCTATACACTTTTCCTTCAATTTAACCTTATAGTATCAGCAATGTTCTTCCAGTACCGATACCCTTTACCCAAAATTCACTTAAATCTCTTACCCTTAACTCTATTCATGCCTTCAAACTCATTATCACTTATCCCAACTAACTTACATCCATCAATCCTCTTTTAACATCCAAATTTCTCCATAGAACACTTAAAAATAAAAATATTACCCATTCCTCAAACTTGTTTCCAATCCTTTCTAATACTTAAAACACCTTAATTAGACCCTTGACAAGTCAAATATATCATTAAAATCCAAATACTAATCAATCTCATCAAATCCCTTAAAACCCCATTTTACCAATTTATCATTAGTTCACCAAACTCTTAGTTTTATTCATCCTTAAGCTTTCCTTAAGCTTCTATAACAACCATGGATTCAAAACCAACACAAAAATAAAAGAAATAAGCAACTTAAAATAACTCACCTTGGCAAAGAGGAAGTTAACGGGAAAAGAAAGAAGAATAGAAGATAACCAAAATTTATAGGCTTTTCATTCTTCCTCCTATTCATCACAAGTTAAATATCTTTAAAAATGAATATTAAATTCATTTCCTGCTAAAAACCATAATGACCTTCAATTCATCAATCTTTGATAATGTCATAGACACAAATTTCCAAGATCAGTCCTTGAATTTTTCAATTTATCAAATTTAACTGCTAAATTTTAAATCCTTATATTTTAGTCACTGACCTAATATTTGGGGTATTACAATTCTCTCACTCTTAAGAACATTCGTCCTCGAATTTTCATTGTACAAAGAGATAAGGAAACTGTCTTCTCATATCCTCTTCCCGATCCCATGTCGCATCTTCTACTTTTTGATTCCTCCAAAGAACTTTAACTAATGGAATCGTCTTGTTCCTTAGCTATTTGAATTCATGTGCTAATATTTGCAGTGGTTCTTCCTCATAGGTCAGGTTAGTTTGGACTTCTATATCTTCTGGTGCTATGATGTGTGAAGGATCTGATCGATATATTCTAAGCATCGAAACATCAATGCTAAATGATATGCCACTGGTCCAACTCTTATTAAGATATCATAAGGTCCAATGAATCTAGAATTGAGTTTTCCTTTGCGTCCAAAACGGAGAACTTCTTCTAATGAGAAACTTTAAAAAATACTTTATCTCCTACCTGATACTCAGTCTCTTTTCTTTTCAAATCCGCGTAGGACTTTTGTCTATCTATTGCCACTTTAATATTATGTTGGATCATATGGACTTTTTCTTCTACTTCTTTAATCAAATAAGGGCCCATTACATTCTTATCTTTTAATTAAAACCAATTTAATGGTGTTCGGCACTTTCTTCTATATAAAGATTCATAGGGCGTCATCTTGATACTCGATTGATAACTATTATTGTAAGCAAACTCTGCAAGCGGCAGATACTTCTCCCACTATCCATGGAAATCAATCACACAAGCCCTTAACATATCTTCCAAAACTTGAATCGTCCGCTCTGATTGACCATCTGTCTGTGGGTGAAAAGTCATGCTAAAGTTCAATCGAGTACCTAAAGCTCCATGTAAAGACTTCCAAAACCTCGAAGTGAACCTTGGATCTCTGTCAGAGACTATTGAACTGGCACTCCATGTAGTCGAACTATCTTCTTGATGTATAGTTCAGCATACTTATCCATCGAATAATCAATTTAAACATGAACAAAAATACGTGGTCTTTATTAATCTGTCGACAATTACCCAAATTGAATAGAGATCCCATAATGAAATTCATCGTAACTCTTTCTCATTTCCATTGAGGAATAAAGATCGGTTGTAAAAGTCCTGAAGGCAATTGATCTTCAACTTTCACTTGTTGGTAGGTTAGACACTTTGCAACAAACTCTGTTATAGCTCTTTTCATACCTGGCCACCAGTATCGTCCTT